TTAAAATTTTGAGTTTTCGGGGTTGTAATAGTGGAATAGTACCCACATTTTCTTCGGCAAGAAATTCTATTGAAAAAGTGTGGAAAGCCTCATTTGCACGGCCTTATTTGCTTAACTGCCCTCGTCGTTTGTTCGAGATAGTTTTTGAATTCAAAAATACGTCAAATACAATAATCAAGCACGACAGGATATTTATTAATCACCCGGTTGATAGCACCCAAAGATTACTTTGAGTTCACCAAGACAGCTACAGTCAATGTATACAACACAATATTAAAAATTTTTGAATTTTTATTGAAGTACTAAACACCAACTACATACATCACTTCACTATCTAGAATTGCACGGCGAAGACGATTGCAAACAGCACAACACGCTCAGCCAAATCTCCAAAAACGTACATAACAAAAAAAGTAAATGACTTTTGTGAAAATCATGGGGAAGCAGTTATTACAGTAGGACTACTTACTAGTAGGGCTGCTTATAACTAGGTTAACACACTATTTGTAAAATTACTACATAACATTACTAAATATGGGTCCGAAATGTGATAATCAAATCGATAACTCAAACTTGACGTCGATCTGTGCAGCACGTGCCAAATGAACGATGTCCGACAACTTCACAACCATTTTGGCAGCCTGAAAAAAAATTGAAATTTTCATTTTAGGCATTAACAGTCCGAGAGAAACACGCTAGACCAATTGGATTCTAACAGAGGGTAATCAATGTACTACTTAGGCCATTTACAATGGAGAAGTAGCTGAACTTACATGACACAAAAAGCATTATGTTGGAGAAACTCAGGTTTTGTGCACTTTGCCTGAGGGAAAAGCTAAGAGACAACGTGGATATGGACTAGACTACTAATCATATCAAACTGCAGCCTGGAAATGATTCCATCCTCCTTTAGTTGTGGAAACATTCAAGATGTCCTTGCCGTATTCTAGGTCATATCAGCGACCTGAGCCGCCTTGCAAAGGGATTTTCCATCATTCTTCTCCGCTTCGCTGGCCTACAGACACATCCCTTTATTACATATAGATGTATCCTAAAACACCTGGGGCCTACGCCCCATGGACAGAAGCACGACCTAGGATGGCAGAGATATGAGAACAATATCATTCCACATCTGACACAGTGAATCGGCGTGCTTTTATGTTCGAGGGTATGCCATAGCACAAGAAGACTACGCTATCGGAATTTTGTTCCTGAAATCAATTTACAAATTTGAAAAGGGAGTTTGAGATCAACGTTGAAACGCATGCTGCGTAATCTATCTCATGTTGAATGGCTTCGAGACATGATTCTAACCGAGTTGAAACTGAAGTCACCTATTCTGAGAAACTGTTCTATTTATTTATTTATCAACAGACAAGCAGTAGGCATGTGGAACAATTTGTTTTGATGAGAGCTTCAATACAAAACAGATTTCAAGGTCTTTAGGACAGGGCACTCACCTCATCCAGATTGTCACAGGGGAGGATTCTGAGCTGCGATGTAGCAATGAGTGCTTTCGCATCTTCGACCTTGGTTCCTGCAACGGTGGATTTTCTATGCTGCTGTGAGAAACCGTATGATTCTTTCGACCTCCATTATTCAACATAATGGCAACATTTCAATGTCACCGTGAGTGCAAGGGTCAAATGTTTTCAGAATCAACACAGATGTGAGATTTTCACCACAGTTGTAGACCCAATAACAAAAACTAGAGACATTATTTGGTATGGTGGGAGTAGTAGGAGTACTTGAACTACACTTGTAGCAGTCAAAATTAGAGAGAAAAGAAACTTCGCGAAAAAAATGCAAGTGAATTGTACAGTGCTCGAGCAATGGTTAGCTGAGCCGAAAAAAGTAACCACCACTGAAGTACGAGTACTAACAAAACCAATAATTTATCAAGTCTTATATCAAGTGAACCAACCTTGGAGTCGAACAACGATCGGGATCTTAAGGTTCAGTTCCTTCGTTGCTTTGATAATTCCTTGAGCGATAACGTCACAACGCATGATACCGCCGAAAATATTCACGAGGATGGCATTTACCTNAAAATGTTTGACACCACAACAATGAGCAATTACATAAGAAATATTCAGTGTATCTGCTGAAAAAACAGAACGTCTAAAAATAGTGAAACACAAAAAAATGGACTGCATAAAATCACAAAATCATGGATCGCAAAAATGCAATCTCGGCTTTTGAATTTCTCAAAAGGAAACAAAATCGAGTAGATGATAAAAATATAACCTCAGTGATTTCCTTGCCTTCAGATACAACTTTCTGTACACGAAAATGTTTAGATTATAATGGGTCACTAACTTCGATTAGTAATAGTGATTGCCATATATTAATTACCTTCTTCTCGTCAGCAGTAATTATTTTGAATGCTTCTGTGACTTGGTCAACTGTAGCACCACCTCCTACATCGAGGAAATTCGCCGGCTCCCCTCCGTGAAGCTTGATTATATCCATGGTAGCCATTGCCAATCCAGCACCGTTCACTGGAAATAATACGGGAAGATGAGCCTTTCAGTACTTCAAGAAAAGACACACCGCCACCGTTTTCGCGTTCAAATACTCACCCATGCATCCTATATTACCATCTAGACGAATGTAATTCAAACTAGCTGCTGCGGCACGTATCTGAAGTGAAGCTTTTGATGATCACATCAACAGGTTTTTAGAAAGAAATTTCTCAGGTGAAAATCCCTCTTACGTACACTTTGAATGTTTAGATTACATCTTTCATTATACTTCTAGCCTTGTAGCCATTTCCATGGCAGTTTGAAATTTTTCAAAAAATGGAAACCTTTTTCAACTTATTCAAAATAGACTACCTACCTCTAGAGGATCCTCTTGTTTGGAATCCTTGAGTCGGAAAAGTTCCTTCTGGCGGAATTGAGCATTAGTATCCAGTAGTAATTTGCAGTCCATGCAGTAGACTTAAGAACTCGAGTATAAGAAAAAAGTTCCTCTTACAGCATTTTAGGGAATCTACCATTTCCATTCACATCTTCAGCCATAGGATTGATTTCCAAAAGTGTTGCATCAGTGTTGCGGAACAGCTGATACAGTTTCAATATGATTTCAGCAGCCTGCTTTTGGCAATCACCCTGCAAAACTACATTTACATTTACAGAACCATAGAAAACGAAAGAAAGGACGGTCTGGTACATGCCTGGAATCCCATTCGAGTGGAAATATCAGCGGCGATTTCGGGTGTTACGCCTACACTCATATCTATTGGGACTTTGATAATAGCTTCAGGTTCGGTAGCCGCAACTTCTTCGATATTTACACCACCACGTGATGATCCAATCAAAATCGGACCCTAAAATTGTTGCTGTTGCGTAATATAAAAAACCACTAAAAGTCATCCAAGCAAAAAATAAATAATTATGAAGTTGATAATGTATAAAATGTATAAAAATTATAAAGAAATAGAAGAACAGCAGCTGTATACAATTCTGAACCCGTTATTAACCACCAGCTCACTTCCCTGGCGTATTTCCGAGTAATAAATTTCCCAATTTGAAGAATTATTGCAAAGATTCAATGGGTGCGACTTATGGTTACAAAAAACATGACACAATTCAAAAGTATTCTGCGCAGTACGATTATTACCCCCCACAGTATGTACGCATTTTGTAGCCTCAGAAAATAGCCTAACCGTGGAAAGCTGGGGTTTCGAGAAAAAAAAAATCTTAAAAAATCGATCTATCGGATTAATTATGTAGCCAAGAATGTGAGGCAGAAAAATCTCCACACAAAACAACAGATGCTGGCATCATACAGAAAGTACACTTACTTTCACTCAAATGATAGAAAGCGACGTACAACTATTTTAACATCAGAAAAAAACTCAAAGCTTGGAACTTGTTAAATCCTCAAACCTCGAACCTCTCAGAAAGTACTAAAACTTGCATACATCTGCATTAATAATATCGATAAAAGAAAAACGCAGTATTGGCGAAAACGTGACGACTGTGAGCGAGTAACAATGAGCAGTTCTCAATATTTTAAGATTGGTGAAGCAAAAGTAGATTAAAGAGGTCCATGTGCCCATTACACAATTCGTTCACTTATTATCACAAAAGCTTGCTTACATGTGTATTCCTATCCAGAGTAATTGAGAAGTAGTATTCACGGCGGGTGAAAAGACGCTTGCAGACCATAACCTGAAAATCAGCTTTGTTATTATCCGAAACCCTTCATTTTGACTACCCACCAGACTAGGCCATGATTATTCGACTGATAAGACTAGTTGGAGAAGCTTTGCCTGGAATATGCTCGCTCTCTTTGGGTTGGACGTAAGTCACTTAACGCGAGGTAGACCTAACCACTCGATACTGCTGCTTTCTCGTGCCAAGAAAATATTACTTTGCCTCCCCCATAGTACCCTCAAATCAAGAAAGTTGGGGTCAAAATTGACTTCATGAAACTCATTAAACCTGCTACTTTCTAGCCGCTGAGGAACAGAAAAGAGCACTGCGTGCGTTTTGCTATAGGCAACTTTGAAACGGTTTTTAGGCTCGAGCTTATGCATTTGGCTTGAGAGGTGGCTACTTAAACCCTAGTATAGAATTAGCAAACCGCGCTGGAAACACTTCCGCACTATTGTTGGTTTTATTTTAACGTAATTCCTTTGTCACCTGCACTTACATCACATATTAAACTGCTGGCGAGCTGAAATCCCACATGAAGATTTTCCTACAACTGAACCTAATGTCGCAATCCCAAATCAGATTTCGGTCTAACTGTGTACCTAACTGCGTGGGAGGACGATACGGAACTTGACTACGATTAAAATTATTCAAACCACTCAACGGCATGTTACAGAATGAATTGGTTACTCAGCAACTCTTACACTTCCGTACCTCTTCGCAAAGTTTTCCACGGTGGTCAGTTTGTTTTGTGATTAGATTGGATCCAATCATCATCTTTGCCTTCTCCATTGCTTCATCTGGTCTGAAGTTTAGAAAATTGTACACCCTCTGATACACCTATTCATTTTTATCGGTTTCTTACGTGAAAACAACTTGCACTCCTCCTTGGAGACCTGAATCGAACCGTCCTTTTCCTCGGCCACCAGCCAAAACTTGGGCTTTTATCACATAGTCTTTGCCACCTGAATAACGAAAAATTGAAACACAAGTCACCGGTTGGCAAACATCAAATGTACCTATTCGTTCTGCTTGCGCTCTAGCTTCCTCCGCCGTTTTTGCGACGCCAAATGGAGGAACCTTCAAAATGAATAATTGTCGACTTATTACGCTCGTTTTTGTTACGCGTGAATGTTATTTCAGGAGTTTGAGCATCTTTCGAAATACGCTTTGAACAGACGGCGTGGGTATGGAAAACTCAAGGTGTCAGAAAAGAGAGGTGACGAACTATTGTCGACTGCTCCCTAAAGGCACTGCGAACGTATCTTCTCACTTTTGTGAAAAAAAATATTTCCCTTGCGTAGGCGGATTTAAAACAGCCCAGGGATAAATGATCAGAATCGAAAACAATACACCTTACAAGCATGGCGAGCTACTTGCAATACGCTTAGTTTCAGACACGACATTTATCCGTGCCTGTTTTCCAGGGTGTCGTTCCCAACCTTCCGACAATTCACCACTTTTTGATACTGATAAGCTATGGCTGAAGCGCCATTTACAATGTGAGGGCAAGCGGGGCTCGATAATGTAAGCGATAATCGGCACGATGACCAGAAAGCATTCCTAGGGTTCAAGCTCCGTCTGAAACTGAAAGCTTTGCTCACAGCTCGCTATCTTTGTAAGGCAACCGTGTCGCGTACTGCGGCAAAAAGGTAAGGTTAACAAACAATGAAAAAGCATACAGTATGATATTAACAGCACAATTCTATCGCGGTTCTCGCTTAGACTAACAGGAATCAGATCGTATGATGATTTCACGACAC